ACCTTGACGGATGAATACTACCTCTGTTCATCAATTGATACTACAATATTGGTATCACGTAAATGCCTAGCCATTGGTGAACCAATAATGGTAATCCTTATGGGATTATACGTTACCATAGCAACAGTACAACCTGTTAAAAACACCCTTAATTTTAGCTTTTTATAAGCTCTTAAAAGAGTTTATAACTCAAAAACGAGTTCGGTAACCGCCATGTTTTATCATCGAATTGTGATAGCGTGATAACATGTAACTTTTTGCAAAGTTTTAAAAAAGTTCTGTATTGTGGGTTCAGAGGCACTCTAACTTTTTGGCATTTTTGACATTTCGGACAAATTTCGAACACCTTGCTGACACCTACAAAACATACATTAGACTAAAATAGAGCGATATTCCGAATTGAGTGTCGTAAAACCAAAACCAAACCAATAACTTACCAATTAGACTACTCAGCTAATTTCAAACCGCAGAGTGAAACCAAAACCAAAACCAAAGTGATTGCCTGATTACTTTCGACACTGTAACATCTATGAAAATGATAGTTTTACTGCAACCTCAAGATTTTTTATTACAGATACACCGAAAAAAAAAAACACAAATTCTATGAAGCCGTTACGTATCTCAAGGAGTGTCTCAACTAAAGTTCACTCAGAGCTTTGGAACAATTAACAATTATTCACCGAAGTGTAGGTGAATGGTGGTGGATATTTACCGAGCCGCGAAGCGGCCAGGTAAATATCCACCACTTTCACCGACACTGAGGTGAATAATTGTTTTAGTATATACCACACGAGCTGAATAACTAGCGGACCAAAGAGTAACTTTATTTGTGTCAATATGCCGACAAATGGTCAGACAAAAAAATTGGCGCGCCGTGCGATGCTCGGAGGTGGATAGTACTTGGCTAATCACCTCCGAGCTAGCCAATCAACGTGCGCGAAAAGTACTATTCACTTGTGTGGTATATACTAACTTAAAATATTTATGCTTTACTGTTAATATTTCGGACACTTAGAAATTACTAATCGGACGCTCAAAAATTTCGGACGGTTTAATTTGGCCGAAATTTTTGCAAGTAATGTATCCGGTAGTAATATGGCCACTGCGTGCACATGCAGGGACCCTCGCGCCATTTCAATTTCGCCCTGATTAAAACCGATTAGTGAAAGTTGCAAATTGCATAGTATGTACCTGCATAGTTAGTGGAGGGGACTAACTATGGTACCTGGTTCAAGTTTATTGGTGATATTATACTATAGAACACTATAGTAATAGTTTTTTTACACGCTTGAGATAAACACACCAAAAGCCCACGTTTTGGTTGATTTGGATACTTGTTTGCCCAAAAGGCATCACCGAAGTTTTTGTACATGCCTAACATTAATATCTTTTCAGAGACCCAACATCAAATCAACTTTCCTACACGTTTAAAACTTAATTATTTTCATGCAAACGTGGAGTCACTAATTCAGTCTCTGGGGACTCAACCTCTTTTATGTTTTCTGCGCCATTTTATAACTGCTGTCACGGTTTTCATTTGCTTTTCCGTAATTCAGTTTCACAGCGAACAAGTGAAGATTTAAAAGGGCGTATGTTCCTCGCTTCCTTGAAAGTGCTTAAAGGACGTTTCAGTGTTTGGAAAATGAACTACAGGTCCTAATAACTTTATGAATTAATAAGGAGTAATGGCGGACACAAGAAGAAAAAACAATGGTGCTATAATGAAAGATTGCACATATTGTAATTGAACTAAGTACAGTTTAATAAAATGCAAATTGAACTTTCCACTAGCGCAAGGCGACGCGAAGGTTATACGACAATTAAAATTCACGTCATGAAGACAAGCTCAATATCAATTTGTACTTTGTCCAAGTTATTTACTGATGTGTTGCAATGCCTCTTATTTCTTACAGTTAGACTTGCGGCTCTCAGTTTCAAAGGGTTTCGTGTATATAGATAATTAGACCACATTAAATCTGTGATAAAAGACCGTGCCCCAGGGAATATGGAGTAAAAATTGAAAGAATTGATAGAATAGGTGAAAAGTGTTATATCGTCAAAAATCTTACTGGGTATAAGTCCTATCAACATTGAATGAGGTCAGAAGGAAAGGAAAAATCGTTCACATCCTTAAGATTTAAATACACGAAACGTGGTGCTCCCAAAATTTTTTGAGTGTTGCTTTACCCTGCCAATTGATCTACAAGGCCCCAGACGTGATCAGGCAGAAGCGAACCACATTGGTCAGGAACAAACAACTATTTCAAAGAGGACTGGGCACTGGGCAATTTGACCGGCTATGAGGACGAGGATTTTGCCCGCCTGGTTTGACCATCTGAAAGAAAGGTTTCTCATAAGAAATTTCAGTTTAAAACGTTTTGCCTGCCTGTGAAAAGCAGTTGCCTTCCTGCAGAAAAAGTTAATGAAAACCCAGTTACAGCCTAGGAAGTTGTGGTTTAAAGACACAGTTTTCGACCTCAGGCAATAAAAGAATGGAAAATGTACTTACCTGGGCTGCATGTTCCGTTTTGACTATCTCCAGCTCGTGTTTAAACGTCCGATAAGCTGCTTCCAAATCACCAAACGTTTCCTTTGCCGAGGCGAGATGCTGCAGTGTCGCATCCGCAGCTCCAACCGACCGCTCGATCGAGTTGGAGAAGCTTGTTTCTTCTAGAGATTCCACCCGGGACAAACGAGACATCTTTGTCTACAGCTGCGCCAGGTCGGGTGTCGTTCCGCAAAATTCATCCAGTTGACATAACGAACGTATTTCGAACGTTTTCGTGCTCTAGCTTGTACGTTCTAAACCCACTGCGTTGACTCGTTGAAACCTAAATGCTAGACTGGTTTTTTGTTGTACGACGCTAATTTGGCTTAACTAATAAAAACCAACTTTTCAATAGTTACTCTTGGCAACAATTGTTCGCGATTACATCAAATCGCGAGAGAACAAAAGATAAGGTCCCATAAGGTTTGGCGCGTCTTGTGTTGTCTAACTCTGTTAGTTTGACGCTTTAGGCTTAATTTGTTTGTTACAAACATTTGAGTAAGAAAGATTGCTTTCGATTGGTTGCAAGGAACGAATGTAAACACAAACATCAACACATCAAATTACTAAAATGCATCTGTTAATACAGGATGTGTTTACAAACGGTAAAGCAAAAATACAATGATACACTGTACGATCAGGTCAAGTCATTGTGCCGTTTTTTTCGAGATCAAATTCGTTTTGTGATCATAGGCACGTTAATTTCGAGTATACAAACAAAGAAACGAAAAACTCCTGTTTAGGGAAAGGACTCTTTTTTTCACACAAGTAACTACAAGGTTTAAACAAGCTATCAGAGCTGTTAGAAACAGCCTCTCTCCTGCCATGTTTGAGCAAAGCAGTTACAATAGAGGTTCCATAACTATCTTTTCCTCTTTCCTGTTTCCTTATTAATTTATTTAGTTATTTAATTGTTATTTTTTTGTCTTGAGCTCTTCAACCCAGATAAGTATAGGTAATCAAATGATTTTGTGTGCAATTTGTAAAAAACACGCACAACAAGTGAATTTTTCAGACTTAAAAAACATTGCCAGTGCGAGTGCAATTTGTAGTCTTTCTGAAAAAAATACGAGTGCTTATATATTCCTAATAATATACCTGCAAAAATTTCAGCATGCTGATTGGGTGAGAGCACGTCAATTAATTCCAAACAGTGTAGATAGTTAAAAATT